GGGAGAATCTCTTGACTGTGGCACTGACGCCAGCAAATGAGCCAAACAAAAACGAGCAACAATTGCTGCAGCCTCTCCAACAGCGACAGTGATAGGCCTAAGGAAGTGTCTGGGTCTTACTCATGCCCTTTCTACATACATACACACACCACCTTATAATACACATGCACTATCCTAAACCTGCATATCATGTGTCTACATTGTCTACATGTCTCCACACCACAAATGTCTTCCCAAACCGGATATAATAGATGCAGTAATATATATAATATATATATATATTATATATTATAGCCATCAAAACATCAACTCGTTGTAGGCTTCTAGAAAGCCAAACACATCTTTCACAGCTTCACCTCCGATGCACGGCACGCGCCCCGCCTGGCGCCCTCACGCCCTCACGAACGGCCGCCGCCCGTGCCCGAAGCCACGCCCCTTTCAGGCTAAGCCGTGTGAAGCTGAGCCGAAATGGCGGGCGTCCGTGTGGTGAGGACGTGTGTATTGTTGTGTGATGTATATAATCCAATATAATGCTCATATGATATTCATATGATGTATTATTGTGTTTTATTATGATGACGTGGAGGAGCTGGACCTTTGCATCAAAGGAACCATCCAAAGACCGAACGTCTGTAGCGGGGGCTTCCACGGGGTCGCTTTTTTCGTCCATGTTCAGGTAAGCCAGAGTGTATACGCTCCAGTTTGGGGAGGTATTTCAATGAACGTCCACATAAAAGAAAATATCCGTCCTTATCATAGCCTACTTTAGCAGAAAGCTATAACTGTTTTCTACCAGGCCTCATGACATCCATGTCGACTAGCCTGATTGGCCACAGTCAAAACACAACGTACCTTTTCAAACCCTATTGGCCAACAAAGGGTGGGAGGAGATTTGACCATGCAAAGTTGCAAGGATTCTACCCGGAAAGGTTTGTCCAGTACTAAGTCACTAAGTACTATCGCTATCTATGGCTATGGCACACCTGCAAGCAACCAGCCCCTTTTGTCCACAAACCCATCCCGTGGGAGTGAGTTCGACAAAAAGAGCTACCGAACTTCCATGGTTCTGGGTGTACCTGAACAGGGGTGCTTTACAGCCACCGTGATGCAGTGGAGAAGCCATCCGAACAAAACAGTAAACAAAGTCACTTCCAGAATTCCAGCTTCAGCATCGAAGAGTCCTCATTCCCCCAGGGGGTTAATGCCAATTGCCACCCACAACCTCAGTCCTCTTCTTGCGCCACCAACGGCAAACAAAGCAGCAAAAAAACATCACCTCCATCGCTCGGGCCATTTTGGTCTCTGATAATGCCCTCACGAGCTGTCGCTGTGTTCGTCCGCGCCTGAAAGCACTCGTCCAGCAGTGTGAGTGATCCCGCGAAAACCGGCACCGTCCGAGGCAAACAAACCAACACACCCGCAAACTTCCCAAAGGTGGATAGAACATGATACGTCAAACGGGTGCTAATGTTGTATGTTACAATACCACTGGGGGTCCTGCTCGGGACTTCAACGGGGCCAATCATGGCTTTCCGACCTACCAAAGAATTCCGAAGAAGGAAAACATGACCTTCCAAGGAATTATCATCATGACATTCCGATTCGGACCACTCATGATCCTCCTCCTCACTCGGTTCAACACGCTCAACAAACCTCTAAGACATGCGACAGCATGCGATCAACTGTCACGCCGCATTCGCAGAATGATTGACAAAAGGAAACACATGTTACATGTTAATATGGCTCATCATGCCGGATCATCCCCGATTCCTTAGTTTGGACGCATTTTGATCACCCAAACGAATCTGAAACCAGCATTCTCACTGGACTTGGATGGAATATGATGGAAAGAACCGGTTTCGTTTGGCGCCGCCTTCGCCGGCGTCTGCTTCCTTGCTTGCCTGAATGAAGCTTCGGGCACATGACAAAACCGTCATGGCTCAAACCAAGCCAAACACTAGGTGGCAATCAGCGAGAAGGATCTACATTAATAAACCTACCATTAATTAAGCACAAAGCATTTCGATGTCATGTTGTTGTGGGCTGTTCTTCCACTTGCAAGGGAAAGTAGGCCCACTAGGCAATGTCCCGTCTGAGCGGGTGTTGCTACCTTGTGGGGAAGGAAGCAGCACAAAGCTAGGTTGCCACCCAACGCTCAACTGCACGAGATGTGCAAATACAGCGAAATTGGAACCATCCAAAACCAGGGGACTGGATCTCACATCGAAGCAAGTTTCTATCAGCGATGCTTTTTGATGCTTTTGCACATTTGGGACCTCAAGAACGTTGGTGCAAGAAGCATTCATTAGGCCAAACCTGCAGATTACGAATGGGTATGATCACATTATGACCATAACCATACAACATTAATTTTTAGCTTAATTACACCTATACATACAAACGTCCTATTTACAGGGCTCAGATATGCTCAGATGTTCCTAGAGGATGGAGGAAGCCATCTTCGAGAAAGTATGGGTTGGTATGCAATCGTGATTCAAGGAGAGTATAGTGATGGATCTTTGTTTCCGCGCATAATGCAAACATTATGTAGGCTCCAATGTAGACTCTTGATTAATTATGTTTCACCCCCCATTTGAATTGGAAAATCCTCTTCAGGCCTCAAAGGTGAAATATCAAGAGTCCACATTGATCACCCAAGACTTCTCCCATCTGAGGATGTTCAAACATCTCCCCATCAGCTGGGCTGAACATCATCTCGGCTCCCAAACCAAATGAAGTCAGCAAACACAACCCTCAAAATCACATGAAGGTCCCGAATCCGCTGCCAAGAAGTCATCCTAATAGATCCGAATAGTGGTATCTATTTCTTCATGTTTTGGGGGGGGTACATAGGTTGTATACAGGTTGTATACACATGTATGCACTGGGGAGCACACGTACGCACGCAATCTGCTTAGCCGCACCCGCCTGCGGCTCGGGCTCGTCGTCCTTAGGACCTTCCGTGCCTTCGGCCTCGCCTGGGAGAACAGGTCGACAGCCTTCTGAGTTGAACTTCGTTCGTGACCTGCTGTGGGGAATTTGACGAGTTCAAACCATGTTGTTGTTTTTTTGTGGTTGGGGTTCGCTGGGTCCTGGTAAAGTTTTTGGCCAACACGCGCAACTGTATGAAGGAGAAACTCACACAGGATTTGACACATACATGTTGAAAGCAAATATTTTGCAGCCTCTTCAGGCGAAGTCGGAAGGAAACAAACAGAACAAGAAGCACATCTTGGATTTGCTTAATCAAGGAACTGGGAACAATAGAAAATACAAATTCCAGCATATTCCCCAGAAGGGGATTCACCCATGTAGGCAACAAAATCACCCGATCTGCACAGCACGAGCCTTTGGTGTCGCCATTGGTCTCGGCCGCAGCCGCCGCCTTGCGGATTGTGCCCAGGGTGTGACAGTTGAGACGTGCAGATCGTGCGCATCAAACAGACTTCCAGCGTCTTGGAAAAGAATATACGGTATATGTACCTGGCTTGTACCTGGTTTGCCTCCCATATACCGTGAAGAAAGCGTGTTAGAGCGGCATGCTATAATATACGCCATCCTCAGTTAGAGGCCGCATCCTAGCTTCGACCCAGGGCAATGGACCTTTTCATGCCAAACCCCCAAAAGACGTAGGACGTGGGCCTGTTGCAAAGCATGCAAAGTCTCCGGCGGTTTTCTATAAGATCCTAATACCTATAACAGTGGATGATGATGGTTCAGTTGCAGGCCTTCTTCAAAGATAGTAAGTTAGTTTACTGACTGTTACAGGTCAGAACGGACAAACCCAACATCTACCTATAAATCACCAAGAATTGGCATCGAAAACAGGCACGACCAGTTGCCGCGATCGGAACAGCTTGCCTCGCTTGGACCATGCGCCCCCTGTCTCCCCGGGTGCCGGCCGATGTCCACCTCGACGTACTTCAACTGCATCTTGAGGGCAGAAATCTTGCTCTTAATACCCTTGCGGGTGGCTTCTAACCTGCAGTTCTCAAAAAAGAAACATGGATCAATCGATGACGGGCTGGAACTCCTGAGCAAGGACTCATGACATATTCAGAACAGTTCAGAACCCCCCATAGAAAGCAGGAAAGGTCCTGCACACACCCCTCTTTTGCCCTGCACCCACAAGGAACGACAAGTAACAATCAGGCAAAAATAACCACCGTGAACCATACATCTTCTTCAAAATTACAGTGGCAACATCAGTAGCAGTATATAGAGGTAGTAAGCCCTGAGGGATCCTGAGGAGGTACCTTTTAATCCACCTCTAATCAATTCTAATCATGCAGCTATACGCTCTTTAAAAGTCATAGAGCGCTTCTGAAAGATCTATCATGATCTATCAGTATGCGCCTAGTAATCAAGCCTCGCTCGCCTCGTGACACTTCCATTTCAATCATGTCTGACAGGCCTGGAAAGCAGTCATCCGAGACATAGGCTACCCCTGCGTTACCTTGTCATCTCCCCCTCCACCGCATCCCAGGGACTGCTTCTCCGTGTCGCGCGTATGCTTCGCCGGCAGGAAGAAGATCGGAGGTTGAACCTTGGTGGAGCTTGTCATAGCTTAATGAAGCGATCCAGAATACATGCAACAATACGCATGTCATGTCAGATTTAAGCTATACAAGCCTACTGGAAGTTCAGTCAGTTTGATGCCCCACAGGCAGAGTGCCAAAATGGTGGAAAACTATTGACCTACTACAGCAGAAACCTTATCGCAACACAACTCCCAAAAAACTGCAACCTACTCCCGTCCCCAAGAATGGCAGGATTGAAACTCCAGATTCCAAACCAACCCCTGACAGCATTTCCTCCCGGTGTCATGGTTTCTGAAGGCCTCAGTGCGGATGAAGTTCATCATCAGCGAGTAGTGGTTCCTCATTCGCAGGTGGCAGTTCGCCAGGTTGGCCACCGGAGTGACTCAAGCACAACCACTGCAGTGGTTTCAGAGTAACAATCCCCAAAAGCTGGTTTATAAGGACCCGATATAAAAGACATCTTTGGGTTTGTGCCATCTACTCTGAAACCACTGTAAAGCCAGCAACCAGTCTTGGCATGTCTTGGCTAGCTGGATGATCTAGCTAGCCAAACGCCGTCTAAGTGGTGCAACCGATCAGGAACAGGCCTCAAGCCTGAGGTGACCCGCATCCGCACACGTACCCCTAGGTAGGTCTTAGGTGACCGATCGGACTCCCCCACGACAGGAGGCCTTCCCCAGTGGCTGTCACCCATCCGACACAGTGGCTGGCCACTTGTGGTCTTCTCTGGCTCCCATCTGGCGCTCTTCAGCTGACTCTTCGTGTCATCCGGACTTCTGCGCGATGCTACACAGTGTTTGGTACCCTATTACAAAAGATCCTGAGCTTTTGACGTGCTCCCATTGGTGGCTTCTGCGTTGCTTTCAGGCTTTTTTTCGGGAGCTCCTCTCATTTCTTAAACTCGCGTCCGTTATGACTTCGATAAGTGACAATGAGTGACCCCCCAAGTCAGAGATGCCCCAAGACTCACAAACACTGACGTACCTACCTGGACCTTCAAGGGTGTTTAATGGAGATCCCTTGAAGGTAGTGTAGGGGCTTTCGGTGACCCCCTTTAAACAACACCCAATCATACACCAAGCTGCTCTAAGCGCCTCTGCAGCAAAAGGACTTCCTTTTGCTCGATTTGTTTCTCGATTTCAGAGACCTCCATCGAGTCCATCCGAGGCGACCCCATGGACTCCATCTGTGGGTTCGGTTCATCGTTCAGCGGTTTCGTGGCTTTTCAGCGGTTTCCAGGCTCAACTGGATGGCTCGACCAGCAATGTCCAGTCCTATGCCAGAACTAAACAATCCAAGTGGCTTTTAAGGTCCCGGATTGTTGGTTGCTTCTTGTCCAGTCCTATGAATGCCCTTGAAAGGTCGAGGATTAAGACGACATGCCTACCATTAGTGATTGGGTTGTTTGTTCTTTTTGTTTCTTTGTTTGGTTGGTTGGTGGATGGATCCTCCAAGGAATATGCAGACCCGATGGGTTCTGTTTTCCGTCTGAGGCCGCTCTCCAACTGAGACATCGTTTCATATGCTCTTTCACCGGAACTGGGGGCTAGGTCCCAGCAAAAAAGAGGCAATCCTTTATTCTTTGCTCGGCCCCCTCTGGAAATTTACAGCCTCGAACCCTTACCCGATGCCTACTTCTGCACCACCCTGAGATCTCCAAGCCTTTGCATGCTCCTCTTGCAACTGTTTATCAAACCTGAGCGTCAAGTGGGCCACTTGCATCCCCCGCTGTAGCACCGTGGGACCTGACCATGCCCAGGTGATAAACCGCTACACAGCGACCTACTTGACACAGCTGGTTCAAGGTGCTTGTAGACCATTCTGGGGTAGCAAAAAGCATGTTCATTCTCGGGTCTTGGTGCTCCCAATCAGGTGATATAGAAACCGCCTTTGAAGGTTTCACCAACCTTGTTATTACCATGGGAGTGACCTATGTAGCAAGGGAGCTAATTGGACAAGTCCTCCTTGCAAACCACGGCTGCTATGCACATGAGAGGTACAGCAAGGCTGATGTCTTATGGAATTTTATGTTTCTTTGAACCCGTGCTGACTCAACTTCTTAGCCAAATCAATCAAACATTTGCCACGTTCCAGCGTTCCCTGAGCTTCTCAGATCCAAGCACGAGAGCACGAGAGAAGGCAGCGTATAATGTGCAGCCAGAAGGCTCTCCTTTTCTAAACTCCTTGATGTTCATTCTGCTCAGATTCACCTTCTCCTCTACTCTGCTTAAAGCCTTCGACTGCAGCTGCCCCATCTTACTGGTCTTTTCTTTCTGCAGCCTTCAGAGGTCATGAGTCAGTGCGATTCCCATCTCAACTCTTCTGCCCAGAAACAGCTTATTAGCATTGCTTGACAACAAACCGCAAAAAAAAATAGAAACACAAAATACGCAGCTGATTGCCACTTGTTACACACTTGATTGTTATCCGGCGCCTGTCTTTGGCAGAGTGCAGGTGACCCAGAAGCTTCCCGAAGAGATTTCGACTTCGTGGGTCAGTCTTTGTGGGCCGACCTTCTTTCTTTCGCTTTTCCTAAGACAAATGAGACAGGTAGGGCCTTGGACCAGGCGCCTGGTAGGTCTGGGGACACCCATGGCATGAGAAGGACTGGATCTGCGCAGAAGCAAACCTCAAAAGCCCCTCTGCACCGCCTCCAGTTGTCTGGGATTTTACCTAATTAACATCCGCAGTTCGCAGTGGTTTAGAACGTCATGATCTTAGGATATTCTCCAACAAGTGCCGTGACAGCATGACAAAGGCTCCCAGCAACTGGCGCATTTGTGTGTGTGTGTGTGCGTGTGGCCGATGCTCTAACCATGCCCTTTGTGAAGGGTGGGCAATTTCCACAAACACACACTGTTGTTGAATACCCACACGATCCAAACATACCTATGGCTCAAGAATAGGGTTCCCAAACCCCTGCCTAATCAATCTAAAAGATTGCTTGCAGTTCCCTGGCAACGTTCTGTTCCGATTGAATGGCCCCCCCCCCCATTCCCTGCCACACAGTTTCCAGCTCTTCGTCCCTCTTCCGCTTCCGGCTTTCACCCTCTCCTTGCTCCTTCTCCTCGCCTCAGATCACGTGCCAGCCAGGTGCAGGAGGAAAACACATGAACAAAACATCAGCTCCAACCTACTAGCGATGGCCTCCAGGGAGCTGACTCTGCTGGACTCATCTCATATCTCACCCTACTGAACATTCACTCCATTCCAGGTCTGTGAGGCCCAAGACCCTGAGCCTCTCTAGACTCTATAGACACTCTAGACCTTGACAAGAGCGAATCCAGGTCAAGAAGAAACACTCATAAGACAATCCAGGTCTCCATCTTCCTTGTCCTTCTCCTTCTCCTCTTTCTCATCCTTCTTCTCATCTTTTTCACCATCCTCCTCCTGTGGCCGCCCGGAACAGTCTGCCATGCTATGAAGCTAGAAAAAGAAAAGCTGATGTGGATTTTCTTGGTGGTTCTGTCATACATGAACTGTGGTCATCCTTATGTGTGATCTCAACAGCTGGATTAACAAAAATATCTTGAACGTGTGATTGGAGTTCCTGCTCGGCACCAGCAGCTAGCACTCATATGATGTAGGTACATGTCACAGAGCCTAATGCAGTGTTATCCGAAACACACATCCGGGCCAAAGGTGATTCAACAATCATTCATGAACCGAAAGGTTCTCTTCACAGTGCAAAGTAGGCCCACCGAGGTAGGCAACAAACTACCAGACTCCCTCTGAGCCTTGATGTGATTGAATCCATAATCTCAGAAGCATATTTCAAACCAAACATGAAAGCGCACCGTGTATCTTTTACAAACATCAGCCTTTACAAAGAGTTCTCCCATCCATGAGTCCATGAGTGTCAATTTCCCCCATCGAAGCGCCCGTGTGAAAAAGAAGACCTCTCCTTCTCATCTTTGGCTTCATCTTTGTCCTGACTATGAAGGGCCATCAATTTCGACCGCTCTTCTTCACCTCAAGTTGATGGCATTGGTGGATTGATGTGAAGAGTGTGCTGTTCTTATAAGACGCCAGGGGCAGCCTCAACACACATGGAAAAAACAACACGATCCTTATGAAAGCTAGGGCTAGGGTCTTAAGAATGGATACGGATACGCAACATCTTACTATCCCGGGAATGGCGGATACACTTGAGGACCTGTGGGGACATCAAGCGTGGCGCAGGACTTTCCGGATATTGTCAATCCACTCTATGAGCAGTATTTCCCTGGTGTTTATAGTCAAAGGCTGTCGAAGGTCTTAACTTAATCACCTTCATCTGATCAAAAACAACTAGATATGCTGGTGGAAACCGCTGCTGTATGATGTTGTAATATACATGCAACGTTTGATGGGAACGCCTTTGACCGCCCAAAACGGGCGAAAGAAAACAAAATAAACAACAAAAAACGCGGGTGACCTCGCCGTGACCGTCATGACCGTCGGCTTTCCTGGGGCTCCCGTCTACCAAAGATGCGCTTCTGGGTCGCCTCCATGCGCCGGATGTTGTCATCGATCTTCACCTTGGATGCAAGCGGAGCGGATGTTGTTTTCAAACGTTGGAAGACGCTGGTGCACCTGTTTGGGTGACGGGTGTGGCGCAGGTACCCCAACAAAAATCATTTACTGTATATGAATGGAGAGGAAAACAAGAAGAGTTCTATCCAGGAGTTTGTCAAAGTCAACCCAAAACACATCCCAAAAAAACACGCGGCAACCAACGAGCGAGACGACAGGCCTTGTCTCTGCGGAGCTCTTGCAACTGGCGCTCCAGTTCCCGCCGAGAGAGCTCATTGCCATCTGACCTCGGTGGCGTTTCAGTTCTCCGTGTCTGTCTGGGTGAGGCTCCGGGGGGCAGGACCCAAAAGGAGCTGTGGAACCTTGGCTTTTCACACTACGAACAGAGCAAAGGGCATCGCTACGAACGGAACAAGAACGCTATGTTCGGGGCTCCTGGCATCGCTACTAGGAGGAAGCTACTAGGGACCTTGGAACCTTGTTTCTTTCCGCCGAGAGGTTGTCTGCCGGGTTCATGTCCTGATTCGATGGTTGGCGGTGAATCTGGCTTAGTTGAATATCGCACTGCCATGCCCTACTGCCCTACCTTGAGAATAAAAATTCACATGTCACATGTGATACAGATTTAAAGTAAGTTCAAGTAGATAAAGCAATCCTAGCAGAGTTCCTAGCAGTTGGTAGACTCAAAACATGTCCAAGAATCCACCCAAAAACGCATATTGCTCGAGGGCATCTTTTGCATCTAATGAGTCCAAAGCTAAACTTACAGTAAATGCCTTACTGAACCAGTGACAACGGCCGCCCAGGCTGCCCGGCATGGTGCCCGTGCGCCGGGGGGATCCTGGAGGCGCCACGAAGAAGAACCTCTGGTTTCCTGCGTTTGGGGGCAGCCTAGTATTCTTTCGAAATTGGCTAGGGAACTTTCCTTTCTCTCAGGAACCAAATGAATTCATTTCTATGGGGATGATGTTATACAAGTTTGTGTGAGCCATCGACAGCATGTTGGTAGATCATGGTAGATCGTCATTGTCCATTAGCTGAATTAGCAAGTGGTAGTGCACCCCTATCACGAAATTGAATAGTGCGGTGCACCTCTTCAATCCCAAGACCCACCAACGCGGTGACCAGCAGGCCGGTCGTGAGGCTCATCTTCATACAACTCGATGATCATCGACGTCTACACCATGCGACACCCACACTCTGGAAGAGGAGCCTCCTACACTTCATGGAACTAGGCAAGGCGCCTGGCCTTCAGTATTCCTCGGATCGATACAGCCTCGTTGTCTCATGTTGTCCCTCTGCTTCGTTTGTCGCTGGTGTGACTGGTGTGTCCTCATTTGATTCCTCCACCCGCTTTCAAATCGGAAAGAATATCTATGTTCAACTGCAGCAAACTTCTCAAAACCCTGATGCTCTCAGCCCAGAAGCCCAGAAGTGTCAATCTGCTTTTTTGCAGCTTCAACATGCTTCGACCGTTTTCAGGTAGATTCCTTTTTAGGTGCATCGACATGCGCGAACCGGCCAAGAAGCTCCATGGTCCATCCCTTGCGCCTCGCGCCGAGCGTTAGGCGCCGGCGCCAGCCGAGTATCCCCCGCACTCTCTACTTCCCCTTGAGCCAACGCATCAGTTTACATCTATAGTCTATATGCACTTATAGGATTCGAGAGTAAGGTTTTCCTTTGAATCATTGCCTCTTCATCTAAACAAAGAGCATTTATACTGGAGACTGGTTGCCCCACTCAAAACGAACCCCAAAAATGTGTGCAATGCGACGTGAAGATTTCAGTCGACGGTAAAGGCTATTAAAGCAGCTATTTTTGGAGACCCTTCCTGGATCGGCAAAAGAACATCAAATAACTGGCACCCAGGTGGGCCAGCACTTGGTGCCCCAAGAAGTGCGGATTCTATACTGTTGTGATCCGTGTTGCTGCTGCGTGCATGCCTATATATGCCTATTATATTGGGGGGAAGGGGATGCCCAGAACATCCACTCAGTGGATCCGGACTCAAAAACTCTTCCTTTTCAACTACTGGGCGCACAACCTCCGATGAGGCTTCTTTAGGGCACCCTCTTTCCTTCCTGTACATCACCGATTGAGAACATCGCCGTGACCGTGACGCCACGTGCACCGTGAGCGCGACGTCTCTTCCAAGCTGTTCGGGTGCTCCCCATGGTCGCTCCCCGCTCCGCTCCGGACTCCCAAGGTGTCCCGGAGCCTCGGTCGCTCCCGTGGTCGCCCCCTATAGGGATCCAAGTATATATATATATATATCTTCTCAGGTACCGTGAGGAAGGAGACACTGTGATGTAGGTGCCAGGAGGGTCCAGTCGTACCTTCTGACCATGTATTTGGATCCCGTTGTCGCACACCGTTTTGATCCCCTCGATCTGCTCGCTCCCGGAGGCCGTCGCTAGGTGCAGCGTGGCCAGTGCAGCGAGATGCTGCGCGTTGGGCGCGCTGAGAGAACAGACCGTCCTGGGCGCTGAGGGGTTCAACCGAACGTGTCAGTCTGAACGGAGACCCCGGATAGACCAAGTTGACACGCCTCTTGATCAGCTCATATCATGGTATATCACACTACCAGTCATAGGGCATAGGGGACGATGATGGTTAGAATGGTTGGAAAGATCGACCTTCACCCAAAAGAGTGATAAATATAGTACATTGATCATCATTCAGAATAATTCATCATCTTTTATCACTCTTTTGTGGGCTTACTGGGGCACACCCAGCCAGTTGATCCATCATGTTGATCGGTGCCAAGAAAACTCGGACTGGCTACTCGCTCGTGTGCCTGACTGGGCAGGATGCAGTACACATCTTCAGTTACAGTTCGCACTTCGATAAGTCCCCCCCCCAAACCCATACAAAACGACGCAAACAATAGCATGTTAAACGAGTTTTCCATCACAGAACCTGCTGGAAACCACCTTGTCCTCATGTAAAACCACAACCCTCTCAGCAAGGACCCCCAAAAGGCCGCGCCTGCCCGAGACGGGCTCCACGATCCGCAAGGCGCTTTCCGCTCGTTCGATGGCCGCCAAGGCCGCGGTCCCATCTCGCAGGTCGACCTCTTTGGGCGTGGCGTCTGCGAGCCATGTCAGCCAGCCTGGCGCTTCTGCCGGCCCCCCCAAAGAAAGTCACAAGACGCCTATATATAGTAAGTAATGTAAGTATACTGAAATTTGTATCAATATAGAAATATATAGAAATACTTGAAATAGGTCAACATCGGGTGTTCTCAATGAGATGCTCCAACTTAGACTTATACACAATTGGATCTGATCCCTAAGATTCATCACACATCATCAAACAGATTCCAGTTGGACCTCTTCGGATGAGATCTATATATAACTGATCTGACCTCGAATCTATCGCGCTTACACTCAATGTCACCCGAGCTCATGGGTGTCTGAATTGCAACTTAAACAATGAACAAAGCAGTTCCAAACGGATGCTTAATTTTTTCAGGAGGGGCTCCACAATATCCACATACCCACTCACATCCACTCACTATCGCTTATCATGGGGACTGAAAGCCACTCCTGAAACTGCTGCCCGGGGGCTCCAAGTGGCATCCTAGTGCATCCTGAGAAGGTGTTTGGGGTGAGGTTTGGGGCGGTCCAAACACCTTCTGAGGAACGACTGGAGCCCTAGAGCTGGACCCTCATCTTCCACGATGTCCACCAGCCACGCCGCTGATCGCCACGCCTCGAAAAAGCTCCTCTGCCGACCGCTTCGTGGACGATTCGCTCGAGAGCGCTTCCTTCTTTCGCTGGACGAAGTAAAGCCCAGTGAGGAGGAACAGGAAGAAATTCCTCGGTGAAGTGTTGCGGCCAAACGAACCATATCGAACTATATCTATGGAAAGGCAGACGGTCCAGTGGAAGAACCCAGCTTTCGGGACCTCAAAGAGGTGGTGTTTTGGTTGGATGATGTTGGATGTTTTTGGACATTCCCATCAAGAGAACTGGTTTCTGGATGTGCACACTCTAGTCACTAGTCTGCAATGGCTAATGGTCTTGCCACGTTTCCAGCTCCCTTGCGTGAACCACTCCTGCCGTCTGACGTCTGAGGATCGGAAAGCCTTCCTCACGAGGGAGTTCCTTCTCATTCCTCCGCGTGAAGTCTTTGATCTTCATGGCGAGGCCTTTCACGGACTCGTCCTCCAGCCACCTGGTGAAATGACATTGAACCTGGACTCGATCTCAATGATCTGAGCTCAATACACCTTGACACAAGTCTACAATGAGTCAATGAGAGTCATTAGAGATATAAGAGATCTTGTCAAAGTGGTGTCTGGTGTGGGTCTGATGAAGGCTCCATCAAAATCACGCGAGATGTGTATGTGCTATTTCCCCTTGCTACTCTTCAAAGGACATGGTTTTATTGGTGAGAAGACTTATCCCCCGTGACTCTCTCCATTGGGATCTTGACCCCTCCAGCACTCCAAATCGCACCCCAGATCCAGTCTTCCAGTCTTTCACGTGCAAGTCTGACATCATCGATCCCCACCTTCGGATGAATTGATCCTTGGCCAATGCTTCTGGATCCCGACCTCCTTCCACCACATCCAGCTCGACTTGGCCACATCGCAGCCGCAAGCGTGGCACTCTGGCAGAGGCCACGTACTCCACCAGCTCCAGAGGGCACCCTTTGGAGCTACGAAGCACCTGACAAAGTGGGATGGAGGATCTCGAGAGCCCTTTGAAGATATGTACTCCCCTGCAGATTAACATGGAACCCCAAAACCACTGGATTGTAGAGGAAAATGGTCTTCCACCGGTCAATTCTCAGGTTCCATCTTATTTTGCGGGAGGGTAGCAAATCTGTGGGAATCTGTTGCATGGATGCATGGCAGTATGAGATTTTGACCTCTGTTGCTCGGGCATCTCCTGCCCATCCAGGCACATGTGACAATTAAAGTAACTAAAACTCAAACAAACTCAGCGTGAGACCAAATAAAACACCAGCGGCACCAATGAAATGAATGAAAACGAAGAGGAAGGGCGTTTAGACTCTCATCATGCTGGTCATCCGGGCTATCGGATCTCTTGCGCCCGTCCTCTCGCCGGCATTGTGCACCGCGCCCCGCCCGGCGGAGCCCGGCATTGTGCACCTGGAGGAGCTGCACCAGCGGTTTGGTGGTGAGCAGATCCAGATCCGAGCGCTCATCCCACAAGCCCAGCGCATGACTCCTAGCTAGGTCGGCGAACAGGTTCGGGATGGAGGGGACTATAGAGTGCATGATCTCATTGGGTCCAAGAGCGGTATACTGGAGGTGGGTCATATACCAAAACATTGCTGCAGGAGAGGACCAGGTTGTACTTGGTCTTTGGACCTGTAGAGCTTGTAGGGAATGGCAAAATGGATACTCAGACCTGACAAGGAGGCGGAGGGACATGTTCACCATGGTCTTCAGAAAAGAACGGAAACTTGATTGGGTCACGCAAACACCACATTTAGACTATTCTTGGCAATGCAATGAGTGCATATGACTAGGCTATCGGTGCAGCAAACACCCAAAGCATCCCAAAGCTATATCGTACTACGATGCCATATCCACTTCTATCGCACACTCCCTGCAATTGCCGCGCTGGTCACCAAAAACAAACCCGCACTGGCCGCTGCCATTCCAAGGTTCCCATGCACCTCTGCCTCCGGGTCTAACCGGCGAAAGGCCTCACGGTCCCCATGGTCTGAAGATGACTCGGGATCGTTTTCTCCAAAGGGCAAGATCTAGCAGCAGGGCAAGATCTCCAGATGGTCTCCGAAGGGTAGAATCACTTCGATAGGTACGGCCAGGTTCGCTGAAAGTTCACCATCAGTCATATCAAACGGAGTTATTGAAAAGGCCATGGAACATGAAACTACCTTAACAACCTCTCTCACTGCAGAAAGAATGCAGCCTTCCATTCCACTGGGGCTAGCGCTAGCTTTTGTCATGTCAATCACAAACAGCGAAGGAAACACACACAAAAAAACAACTCATGACCTGCATAATAAAGTTGTCCGGCGAGCCAAGCTTCTATTCTAGCACTGGGAACTGGTTATATGATGCTATACGTCCCATCACTTGTTCCACACTCCCGGTCGACTTTTCTCTCCTCTTTGGTGGCCTAGCACATCCACCGAGAGGTTCTGGTAACCACGAAGGCACGAAGGTGGACTTCGCAGCTGGCGTTCGCCATCGTGTTTCCATGCACTTCATCAACCAGCTCAAGGTCAGCCCATGGCAATACATGATGAACATGGACCACCCGAGCAAATCCCCCCACTCACGGCCTCCAGTGCCGGTGCCACATGGGGCGCGACGGCCACCACGCACTCCGCCGATCCATCGCCATCGCTGCTGTCGCTGCTATAGCCCGTGAGCAGTGAGGCAGTTTTGCCATGAGCCGTTCTGGGGCGCTTGGCCAGTGCCATCGAAGTGTGGGAACGCGAGCAAGAGTCTGGAAGGCTATGAAAGGCTTAGGTTCAATGATGTTCAATGCATTGAGGGGTGGTATGGTGAACGAAGGAAGTACGATTGAACATTGTTTAACACGCAAACTGGTGGAAATCCAAGAGTGACATTTGATAGAACATGCTCCAATATTAATCTGTGTCATTCTTTCTGGTGTGATAATGTGTTGCCGCCTGCACGTATCACAAAGCCCAAGGAGGCGAAGTGGGGCGAAGCAGGTCTCTAGGAAGATGTCTGGTCGGCTTTTCTCCCACCGGCCGGATTGGGAATGTGCTAGGGCAATCGTTTCTGGCTTTGCCCTAAGAAGTGACATTCACTAAATATAGAGTGGTGAAATGATCGAAAAATGTGGGAAGTCTTATGTTTGATTCTTTTCCATGGATCGAGTTGATCCCTTGATGGGTGCTTGCTCCACTGACAGATGTCCTTCATTGAGCCCGCAGCACACAAGAAGCCAACTAGAACAGATCATCTTAGCGATCGCGAGATTGAGCCTGAATTCCTATGCCCTGACCTTGCATGGGACTAAGAAGACCGCAAGGCCTTAAATCTGTAGGACTTGGAGGTCCAATAAGGCCTTCACCTGCCAACTGATTCTGATGGGTTCTAGATAGTTCTGGTCTGTTCTTCCTTTGGCCAGGGGTTTGGGTCGGGCGCATCCTATTAGTCTCATGTCTAATACAATCTACATACAACCTGTTTCAACTGCGCCAACCTCGTCTGACAAACCACTGGAATTCCACCATCTGCTTGAACTTCGGGGTGGCCGGGTGGCCACCGAAACATATGTACACAAAATGTATCCTCCCCACACTTTATACAACCCCCAGGTACCGAACGGGTCCTCCCGACGAGTGGACATTCCAAACACCATTTTCCGCGCTGTACAATGCGTCGCCGGTCACGAAGGCCGCTTCCTGGCGGGTTTGTGGCGGAAGCCCAAAGAAGTCCATGAATCTTGGGAGGAAACAACTGGTCGGAATGGGAGGGTGAAGCCCCTTTAGCCCAATTGAACAAGAAACACAGGACAGCAATTAATCAGTGCAATTGGACACAATAATTAGTTACTGTCTACCAGTAGCCGCTAGCCTCTCTCCACAGGAATCTAGTGGGATATATATATATATGGGATTGGAGGATGTGGACTTCTGTCGAAGGTCATTGGCTTTTCGCCCCCTCATCCATCCCACACCACCGGACATACTCCGACCGAGACTTAACAAGCAGAAGGCATACTGTGACCAATCTGGTACCAGTGTAAAAGTCCCGGGCTCTTGAAATCTCACACCAAAGCTGGTTGGTGCTTTCAACTCACGAAGAATAGGAGAGTCAGTGGGATCAATCATCCCAAGTGGGATCAAGCATCCCAAGTAAAGGTTGAACATACACATCTCCAAAACCACCAAACACGTTTCAAAACCCCAAACTCAAATAAACCGTAACCCGACATCGACCGAAGACTGACGCGGACTCTCCCGGCGCGCCCGGCGCCCAAGCGGGATACAATGCATCCGACCTAGGGAGAAAGCGGTTACCGATCAGCTGGGGACACCTTCTGGGATCCCCAGCAGTCGCAACAGAAACGATGGGGGTCAGCTGGCATTGGGTCCAAACCTGGAGCAAACCCTAGTGGGTTAACCTCCCTGGGAATCTATTCAAATCCATTCTATTATATTCTATTCATGTTCGGCGGTCAACCAGGGTCCCCCACAGGTTCCCCCTGTTTTGACCCACTGACACTCCCACTGACGCCCACTGACATATCTGCACACAGTCTGTGCTCACATGATCTCACATGATTGCTCTCCAACTTGGGAGAAGCAAACTTCAACTCGCTCAAGAAGCAAAGACCAAGCCCACCACCGACTTGCCGCTGGAAATGAAGCTGGACGCCACCCACCTGGCAGGTAGGGTGGGTAAGCATTCTGGCAAACTGCTCGGCAGCCACTTTTGTTTTAACGGATTTTGCTTGTTCAGGATGATCACTTCTCCTTCCCTCCCCTCCCAAATGAATCTGGAGTGCAGTGTCTCACAGCGTGATGTTGATTGATTGTGCCAGTTGCACCATGTTGCACAGTCAAAGAACTGATGAGCACTGCAAAACCTTGGCGTAGATCTAAGGAACAAGCAAGCTCTTTCCAAGATTGATCCATCTTTCTAGTGCAGCGGTTTGAGAGTTCATGGCCCAGACCTCAAGATGTCCTTGAGATAAACCACCTTTTGGGGATAGTGCCATGTACTCTTGAAACCACTGCAAATGATATTGCAAGTCCAAGTCAGGGAAACATCATGTCCTGCAGGGACCCCTGAAGTAAACAGCAAGGTGCTTTAGTGAACACTTCTTCAAGGGCGTGCTCAGTGGACCTTGGATGGTGTGAACGTTCTTGCTGGAATGGTGGGAGTAGTGAGTATATAGTGGCAGATCAAACTATTTGTCATATAGTCAAATTGTTTCGCAACAAACATCTTGACTTCTTGGAGTTGCATCCATCGGGTTGCAATGCATTCATGCTCTTCAATTGCCCTTTGCTGACAGTTTTCCCCTTATATAGCTACCGTACCCAAAGGTGGCATTCCAGCTCGAGAACTACGAGTAGTACAAAGTACAAATCGAACATGCGGATGTGTCGCTTGCCACAGTGGAGGATCCCAAAACGAATTGCGTCCCCTTCCTTTGCACGGCCTACGTTCATGGGATTTCCATGCCGGCCATTATGAGCCTTTTGACGCCTTCAAGCGGTGAAACCCAACGTCTGGACATTTCTGGACCGTTCGAAGGATGCGCCGAGAACTACGCGGCTCAGACGATTTGCCAAAGCTGCTGGATAGTCGTGTTCTCCTGACATCTAACAGCTCGATCCGGAAGGCATGTTCCTCCTTGCCAAAAGAAGTGAACCTCCAATACCCTCGGAGCCATCAAGTATATACCGAACAAGGCAGGGTACAGTGCGCATAGTGCTCAAGAAAGAGAAAGAACATAAACATACAAAACGTTTTAGAATGGAAATCACATGTTTTCTTGCAGAATCCACCCCCCAAGTGCTTTGCCCCATGCCCACTGCCCAGTTAGAGCTCCGGTAGACGGCTCAGTCCAAAACCATGAGGCGACCGATCGAAACCAAACAGCTCAGTGGGCCACCAGTCTCGCCACTATAGGGCGACCTTTTCTCCTAAAAGGAAGTGGGCTTTTCTGAGTCTTGATGGGTCCTGTTCCTTTTCCTGGTCGCTGTTCAACTCTGCACCTATCCGTGGTGGCATAGTGTGGGAGATCTTCCTTCCAGCAATCTCATCCGACGAAGGGAAACAATGGCTCCTTAAGGCGCTCGACTGCGAGCCCAAGCCTGGGACTTGTGAAGTGAAGAGGCATTTCGGCGCACGTAGAGGGGTACACGACTGGTTCTTAACATGAACGTCACATGCAAGAACCCTCAGAAGCACCCTCTGCAAAGGTCCACCCTTTAGGTCCGCATAGCACAAGCTTTAATAGAACCTCTAGAAACTGATGGACTACCCCTAGTACTAGTACAGGAAGTGTTCATCTTACACACCCTTTCAGCAAAGGCTGCACATACATCTCCAAGCTGTACACCAGCAGCTGTGGTTCGTGCGCGCACGAAGCACAAAAGGTGTGGTGGATCTGGTCCAGCCGGCACAACACCCACCAGCTACCCGGTGGAGAACCCAGGTGGTTCAAGACTGGCCCAGGTGCATGATAAGTAAACATATATATTTGAAGACATGAGAAGAACGAACCCAACAAGCTCTATATATGGCCTCTGGCAAGGAATCATTCATCCCCTACCCCTACCTGACCTTGGAGAACCCACCCCAAAAAGTAGCAGCCAAGCCACTCATTGTTGAAGATAGGCTCTCGATCCAGTTCCTTCTCCCCATCAGGCCTCGGAAGAAACCACCGACGAACCGGCGACGCTTCGCTTCATTCATCGCTTCATCGCGGAAAAACATCCCGCGGAACAGGGGAGTCGAATTCACCACGGTGAGGGACTCAAGGATGCGTAAGGCATTATCGATGGGGGCTACTGGTACCTGCCAAACACACACACACACACACAGACAGAACCTGCTGCGTGCGTTAAACAACGTAATTACTATATATTATGTATATATATAATATAGTAATAATATAATATAATTGCATCTCTCTGTGTGAGCACCCCAAAGTCTCAGCAGTAAAGAACACATCGCACCAACCCTTCTACAATCGGTTCTTGATTAAATAAACTCAACAAACTTAACTTCAACCACAACCACTGACCACCCAGGGCCACTCAGCCTCCCGACTGGTACAGCAAGCAGGGCTCAATCTCATCACCCTCCATGATCTGCACATCATCCTCAAGGTAGGGCAAAGCTGATCACAAACAAATCAGGTCGGCCGGTCGGCCGCGCTCTGCCCTGGATGATCCACTGTGAATGCCTCCCAGCTCCTTGTTCTATGAACAAACTATGAATGAAATTCTCCGGGGGGGCCGGCAGGACCCTAGAAATCCAAGGATCAATGTTCCCTGGTCCTATTTGTGTCCCCAACCAAAATCAGTAAACGCCCTTGAATGATGTCAAGTACTAGGGTGCATGGATCGCGCCTTTCCGTTGAGTTTATCCAAGCAAACATCTGGAAAAAACAACTCAACAACATGCTCTGGTGACATGTATATTACATATTCCCTTATCTATATTCACACATCATGTATAACATCCAATCAGTTCTGATTGATGGTCTCTTTGAGTGTCATCCTCAAGCAATAGACTGCGAAACCTTTCCAGCCGTACTCTATATTTAATAACCCAAATCCAAGGATGCTTGACTCAAGTCCCAAGTAATTATATACTAACTTCTATGGAAGGTTGCACAAACTATCAGCAAAGGGTTCCGAGAAGCGAGGACTTGGGGACACCCGGTGGACAAAGAACCTCTCGCGAGCGGCACGAGTCCTCCTGTCGTGGGACGAAGCTCTGGTTGGGATCTTGTGGCTTGTCCTTCCAGCTTGAAGATGGATGCGATTGCCCTGGTCCACTCAATATGGACAACCATATGGAATCACAAAAGTTCCGTTTCTCATTGACCGCCTGTTCCAGTTCGCTACCTGCAAAGAATCATGGAAGTCTACACAGTGATCTACCCTGGACCCTTCGGCCTGCTCCCACAAACAAGATAAAGGCCTAATCAAATGTATCTGTATGTGTATATATAAACTCTAAATATACATATGATGACAAATTCAGCAATTTCAGGGAGTATATTTTCCTGAACCCTGGCTTTGGAGACAGCTTGAGTCACAGTAGACCATTGACTAGCTCCATGAAGATCCTCAGCTGACGGCGATGAACCAGGTTCAGAATAACATGAAACAAAACATAGGCCACTGCAAAGAATGTGTATACTCCTGTACCATAAAGTATGTGTGTGGGTTTGAGTTGTTTTTTTGGACACGAATCCACTCTCCAATCACACACCCGATCGCACTGCATCATGCACTGTATCATGTGTATCTCATCTGCTCCATTCTGCTCCTCGAGGGTGTAATCCACCCCGAAGATCGGCGTCACGCTGAAGATCTTCCTCAGCCGAGCTCGAGACGGTGGGCCGAGCCGAGACGGTCCGGAATGTCGGGAAGCACCCAATGGTGCAGGGTCAACAAACACAACGTCGGATTCCGGACTCGAGGGCTTACTCATCTAGTACTCACCTACTTTAGGCTCAGCACATACATGTTTACAAAATCAATTTAAATTGTACGGTTTGAACGTGAAAAGGCTGGTTGAACCACTTCAGGCGGCCATTGACGACCTATATAGAAACTTAAACCCACGTCACTATCGTTTTAGCAACAACGAATTACCAGTATTGAACTGCCACCCGGAAAAAATATTACAAAATCTCCTGGCGATTCTGACAATGTTGCTCATGTTGGTTTGTTCTTTGTATTCAGTTGATTGATTTGTCTTTGTTACTTTGGTAGATGTACGGACTTCACCTCTCAGAATGCTACAATATCCCTTTGACCTTCTTTTGTTTCAATGCCCAAACTGAAACTGAGCCGGCGCAAAAGCCAGCTTCTGAACAAATGGAGCGTAGCTACACCCACACCCAGAGAGGAGAATCATGTCGTAAAAAGAAGCACCTGGTCCAAAAGAAATGCCGGTTCTCACAGACTTAATAAGCCAGTGCTTGCATGAATGGACCAACGAAACAAGCATCTGCGACCAAGGATCCAAAGGTTGTGGATCTGAGTGTAGACCTGCCAGATTGCTGACTTGGGTTTTGCTGTTTTTGTGGCGATTTCTTTCCAAACCCGCACCCAGGAATATCAACGAATGGCTGGGCTGCATTTTGCCACTCCCAGGTGAACCCTCCATGTCAGCAACACACACCTTTCGTGCCCGTGGAGAAGGATTGTTAAACCTCACCTGGTGCTGATGAGACCCACACCAACCAAGCTGACGGGTGCATAAGAATTCGGCAAGTCCAATCCACCAGATCAACACCAATACCAATTAAGCTTCGCCTGGACGGGATTCGTACTATACACTGAGGTTGGATCCGGTTCTATTTGGGGACAGGGAGGCCCACCCTGCAGCAGAACTAGTTGATTTGATGATGCTCCCAATAATAAGAAACACATATTTGATCGAACCATATTGTTCTTGCCTCCGCTCCACAGCTTCGTCAAAAAAAACAAGGCGGGTGCCCTCTTTTCAAGTTGCCCAGTTGCCCTTGCATAAGCAAACTGGAGAGGACTTGTTTGGCATTGACGGCAGCAAGGTCGTTTCAGGTTGAGAATTCTCTCATTCAAGAGATAATACTGGATTGATTACATGTCAATCTTGCCAAGGCATTACGCGTTGCCGATGTCCAAACCATGAGGTGGAACGCTGGCC